GTCAGGTGGAGAGAGTACCTGGGGTAGAGGGAAGTGTCATGGAGCATTCCAGATAACTTCTTGTGCTGAACTCCTATTAGCCTCAACAAGGAAGGAACCACGTTCAAGAGGCTAAAGAAGAGGCGTAGAGTCAGCAAACGACATGGGGTTTTACTAGGGGCTTACACACAGGGGAGAGAGTCCAGCGGCAGCAAGCTGAATGGGGAATTGCCTTACATACAGAAATAATCTCATGGCAGCAGAGTGGACAACATAGTCACCTTACACACAGTCCAGTGGGGGTGGGCTGGGCAGGAAAACCACAACCACTTGCAAACAGCATCCAGTTTCTATAGTATGTTCACTTAACAGCCTCCCCTCACAACGTCCACCTGGCAGCCTTCATGTAGCCCAAAATTCAGGCCTCAATCCCCTGGATGGCGTGTGTTCCACTGGATGGGCTGGGGGCTCAGATGTGCCTCATAGACAAGGAATGTGTCTCCAGGTTGACCACTCCTGGATTCTCTAGCTCGGGACACACATTCAGACGTGTCTGCCATCCATGGTTATTCTAAGGGTATGCTTAAGTTATTGCTGTTTCAGGTATGTTTACCTTACACTTCCTTTTGTGTCTGAGCTTAAAAATAAACCCAAAAGACAAAACCACCACCACCACCACCAATCACTACCCTTAAACAGGTGTCATCTCCACTGCTGGTGTGGAGATAATTAAAAAAGAGGATAATTTTTTAAAAAAAGTTTTCTTTGCTTGTAAAGGGAAAAGAAGCAGCTGCTTTCTCTTTCTTTCTAGAAATGCTCTACTTGAAAACCTACCAATCCCTAAGTCTTTAACCTTTTAGAATATAACTATTTACGTTTTCCTCTGGGGCTAGAGAAGCCCAGTCTCCTGGTTTACAAAACAGGGATGTCTCAAAGAGCCTTTTTGAAATGTAAACACCTACCTCTGGTGTTAACCTAGGAGTCTATCTCATTATGTATTCCTCTGTCTCTTGAGGAGATAAGAGAAGTTTTACTTTTTGTTCTTTTGCTTTGCTGGATGAATTGTGTGAAATTTCATCCTGACTTTGTAGTCTGTTGCAGGCTGCCTGTATGCATGCACTCTTTTGCTTATTTAACAATAAATCAATTTTTTCTTTCCATATTGATGTAAAGAGGTGTCTCTTTGTTGGTGGGACTTTGACTTCCTCAAGGGTACACTAGTACAGTCTCTTCGGAGACAGATTGACGTTTATTAAAATGAACATGCACATTCCATTTCTATCACTAAAAATGTATCCCCTAGATATTCTTGCAGATGTGCACAGAGGGCAAACATTCTAGAGAAAAAATTAATGTATCTTACCAGGCACAGATAAATTATGAAGCATTTCACATCATACTATGCGACTGCAAAAGAATGAAGTGGACTTCTATGTACTGAGGATGGAAGGCTCTCTAAGATATACAGTGTCAAGTGAATAAAGCGAGATGCAAAATTATGCGTTTATTATGATGACGTGTGCACTGTGTATTTGTAGATGCACAGATATTTGGAAGGACACACAAGAATCTGTTAATAGTGGTTATCTTGGTGAAGAGGGATTAGTGCTTGGTGGTTGTGTGTGACAGATTTTTACTTTTTTTCCTCTTATTTGCTAGTTACTTTTCTTAAACCATGTAAGTATATTTTATAACATATACAAAATATATTAATGTATATCATAAAATATTAAATGATATAAAGTATTATTTTATATTATAAAAATTTAATGGGCTTATCTACATTACTAAGCATAAAACTCTTAAAAACACTTTATAACATTTATAAACTTTGTATTATAAACACTTTATAATATAATATAAAATAGAAATGTTTATTTTATAAAATAAAATAGTATTTATTTTATAATATAAAGTAATTATTTTATAAAGTAATATGTTTCATAAATATGCTGGCTTAAATGTAAATAAAACAAAATACAACCACTACTGAGACTTTAAAAATATCACCGGAAAGTACGTTTCATAGCAACACAAGGACAGGGATTTTGTTGGTTTTGTTCAAGGCTATAGAACAATGTCCTGTTCACAGTAGATATTTAATACATATTTGAGATAGAAACCTAAGTTCCTCCTTTGTCTCTCCTAAGGAGTTTGAGCTTGGAGTTATCTGATCTTCAAGCTAAGTCTCAAGGCAAGCTTTGATGATTTCCTTATACGCTCTGTATCTTCTCTCCTCTGTCTCTTTGCTGATGCTGTTCCTTTGGCTAGGAGTGCCTCTCCTGTGCTTTCCCTTCCCTGCCTGTTTGAAATAGTTCACATTTCTCAAGCCAATCTGAAACTCTATCCCTAGCAAAGTTTTTCTTAAACCTGTCTGGAAAAATACACTTTCTCCTTAACCTGGGGTCTCATGGTATCCCTTCCATCACTTAATATACACTGTGATTTAGCTGTTTTAAATGTTGTCTATACATGTGCCTTGGGATAAGAATTGTGAGACTTCTTATGCCAGTAAAACAATTTTTAGGGTTCCCCGCCTCTGTTCCCATCATATACAGAGTGCTAATTGGCCATCAACTCATTCCATTTTTAATAACGAGGATGTGAGTCTTGGCTCCTGGGCTTTCTCCCATTGATTTCTTTCCTAGAGTTTCTTTTACAATCTCTTTACTGTCTAAGTTCTTCCTGCTTTCAAGTCAGTCTACATTCCCACTTCCTGTAGGAAACTCTTCCCTATAACTCAAGTTAATGGGAATAATGCTTTTTTTTTCTTGTTAGGTCTTACAATCATTAATGTCGGAACAATTTATTGGAAATGATATGAGCAATGCATTTGACACTTAATATATCACAGCTACTATTAATATGACAGGCCTTAGTTTTAAGGAAGCAACAAGTGTTTCCTGGGCTAAGAAATCACAGCACACCAAACCATATAATCGGATTGTGCAGTGAATCTTTTCACATCTAAACATGAGGGCTAAGTCAAGGACATGGATGCGGAAGACGATAAAACTCCCAAGGGAAGAGTGGCTCAATGTTTCTTAGTGTTTCTGTGGCTGGCTGTGTTGGCAAAGGGGATGCTGCTGGCATCAGTCAAGCAGTATTGGCTCTACTACTTTCTCAGGGTGACGTCGTGCAAGCCCTGGTCCCTCTCTGCTCCTCATTTTCCACAATTACAAAAACGAAGCAGAAAGATCTGCTCCAGTTCTCTTATAGAAGAAATCAATTCAACTACAAGTTGGATTTGAATTAGCTCTCTCTAGCTTGATATATCACCGTTGCCACCCACTCCTCCACCATCCCTCTCTCTCTGCGGTTCTAGTTGCATCCTTTCACTGAAGGACTTCTTAAAGGACACTTCCCTTTCTTTTCTTTGGCCATTGCTACAAAATGACACACCTTGGCTTACTCTAAGTTAGAATTACAGAAATTTCAGAGCCCTTACAGAAGATGCCCTAAAGTGTTTTCAAGAGTCTTAGACTTAAGAGATGTAGATAAGCCCATTAAATTATGGGTTTTAAGAGTTCCACTATCTAAATCAAATATTTGCAACCCATTCTTTTCACTTTTGTGGAGATATGAGCTTCAAAGCTTTGTGTAATTTCAAAGCTTCATGACACTTGAGAAACAGATATCAAAGCCTTTTAAAGCCTACTTCTTTCCAGTAATTGGTAAGCTGTAGAGTATTTGGCCTAAGAAAACTGAAGAAAAACCAGAACAGATTCTGCAGGATAATAATATGATGAAAAGTAGGAGATATGAAGTAAGAAACAGAAATATTCTCACTTTGGCAGTTCATGTGGGTGGGCACAGTTCTCAAATTATCCAAATTACAGATTTACAGATGGGAAAACTGAGGCTCAGGGAGGATGAAAACTGTCTCAACCGAAGACACAAGTGTTGATCACTGAAATTAACAACTTCAAACACACACACACACACACACACACACACACACACACACACACACACATCATGAGCAATATAGGCTATGACTACAGTATTTTCTCTATAATACATACTGGTGGAGTCTCTGTAAACACCAATTTCCTAAAATATGAAGAAGCTTTCTCTTTCTTCTCTTCTGTTTTCAGAAACAAATATTACCATTTACTTCAAACGAAGTACGTTTCCCAACACAGTTTGACCCTGTACAGTGTGCACCCAACAATTGCTTAGTATTATGAGGAACCGCAGAGAGAACAGGTGCTAAAATTTAATCTTTCTACTTTCTGCCTCTATGTGCTGTTTCTTGTGACGCCCTAACTTCTTCAGAGTGGTGGCTTCAGAGGAAGCTTTCGATTTGTCTTGCTGGCTTTAACACCAAAATGTCCAAGGCTCTAAGGAGCCATGGACTTCTCTTTTGTCTCCTTTCCTTCTAGACCTTGGCCTCTGAAACTTACCTCTTTCTATAAAACAAAAGCAAAAACAAAAACTCTTGGCAACAGGTGAGGCCTCAGAAACCTCCAGGACACTAGGACTTAGGATATAGAATCTCAGAATCCAGTCTGAAGTCCTTGAAGACACGATAACAACTTGTGCTAAGTCTTATCAGGTTTCATTATTGTTTCTTTCTTTGATATGGGCCTTCGGCTCATTAAGCTTTAAATCTTAACTTCACAAGGCCAATAGCTCTGCTCCACTGTTTAGCTCAAACAGGTCTGCAAAGTTTTGAGATGATGATGGTCTAACAATATTTCTCTCAACAAGCCAAATTATTTCAGAGAGTTAAGTTCCTCTTTCTTTTCTCCCTTTCTTAAATATATGTATATATAGTATAGTATATAGCATATACTGTATGTTATGTTATATAACATATATACTGTATATTATGTTATATAACATATATACTGTATATTATGTTATACATTATATACTATATACTACATATATAGTTTATTTATTTATTTAGTTTTATTTTTTGCTCTTACCCAACAAATGAATATCATTTGTTCCCAGGGCTCTTTCTCTAGGGAAAACAACAAGAAAGGGAAAGGGAGGAAGAGGAGTCCACTTACCGTCCTCTGAACGACCAACACCATGATGGTGGCCACCGTGAAGACAAGGCACAGAGCCAGCGTGGCTGTGGTGAAATAGAAATAGCTGCGGCTCGTGGTCCCCAGGTGGCTGGCCACGGAGCCTGCCGGGACATGCATGGCTGTGTCTTCAGGAGGGGCCATTCCGTTGAGTGCTTGCTGCAGCCCTGGGTCCATTCTTTATATAGTCTTCACCACATCACACCTTATCTCTCCTCATCTGATTCAGTTCTGGGCTCATCTCTGTTCCAAGAAGGATTCTCCCCCTGCATCCTGAATCATGTGACTTGGAAAAAAACCTTCACCTGCTGCCTGGCGGAGAAACTCTTCTCTGGGGGCGTGAGGCGAGAGGCGGCAGCGAGGGTGGGGGAGAGGTTCATTTTTCATTGCCAGGGATTAAGTTGAGTGCAGAGAAACTAGCTACAGAGAAGGTGGCTGATGTGAGAAGGCGCGTAGGAAAATGACGGTTCCTCTACTCTGTGTGTGTGGTGTGTGTGTGTGTGTGTGTGTGTTTGCATGCGTGCTCACACACAAAGCAACTTCTGTTTTGTTTAGACCCAGCCACAAAACTCCTTCCTGTTCAAGAAGTTGCAACTTCTTTTAGTGAGGCCTGCGGCTCAGAAGACCTCCCCAGATAATGAGTCCTTGCTGGGTTTCAGGGAGGTGGGATCCCTAGGACTGCAGTGGAATAACTCCAAAAGGATCATTTTGATCATATTGGCTCCTGCTGAAAACAGAACATGCTGCAGGGCCGCTGGGAAAAAAAAGGGCCCACAAATGGGAGACTTCCCACAAAGGGGGACTGGCGTATGGAAGTATAAAATTTGGGGTTCAGAGATATTGTCAGAGAGCAGGAATCTGGAAACATCTATCCTTTGAACAAACACTCCTGCAGAATGTTTTGGGATCGGTTAAACCGGCAGATGAACGTGGGCCTGGCCATAAAACTCATGAAAAGGGGAAGGAATAGGCAATGAGGTGGTGTGGTATGGGGGCTGTGTGTGTTGTGCGTGGTGTGTGTGTGTTTGTGGTATGGGGGTATGTGTGTGTGTTGTGTGTTCTGTATGGTATATGTATGCAGGGTGTGGTGTGCATTTGTGATCTGAGATGCATGCTGTGTGTGGTTTGTATGTGTTGTGTGTGCATGCGCATGTGTGTGTGGTGTGTATATGACTGCTATAATTGAATCTTTGCTGTCTCAGGCAGGGTGCTAGGAGTTACATGTGACCTCAATCCACTTTCACCTCCATCCTCCCAGGCAGGCAATGTTTATTTTTTACAGATGGGAAAACTGAGGTTCAGGGAGGATGAAAATTGTCTCAACCAAAGTCGCAAGTGTTGATCGCTGAAAGAACTTGGGTGCACTTTGCAGCTTGCCTGGCTGAAAGCTCATGCTAAGTCACTCAATCTTCACAGCACCTGAAGGCTGAAAACCTGAGGTCTGGTCTCAGCCCTTCCCTTTGTAGCCTTGGGTCCTTGTACAAGTCCTTATGGCTTTCCCTGTTCCCTGTCTGCATTACAGTCATCAGGAAGACCAAGCGAGATGATGTTAGAGTACTTCATGAATAAGAACAGACTTGGGGATGGTGTTGGACAATGCCTATTAAACATTCCACTGGGTGTCCTAAATTCCAAGTCTGGAATTTAGATACAATAGACAGATTATCCGGGGGACAGAGCTGGGTCACATCTGTGGTTACTAATGATCTCTATTTCAAAACATCATTTACAATGTGAATCACTGTATAGCTGCTGCCTCCAGATGTGGCTCTTTGAGAATTCCACTTGGTGTCAACCTGGAAGGAGCTCGTTCTGTGCGGCACCCCCTTTCCTTTCTGCTCACTTCTTGGCTGCAGTGCATCACTTCGAGGCAGCAGAGATCCCAGATGCCCCTAAGGAAATGTCCTGTGTCAAAAGCCAAGCTTAGAGTATTCCTACTGCTGTTCTTACACAGATCTAAAACTTGCGAGTTTCTCCCAATTAGGTCAGCCTTTAGGAGTTGGTCTGGAGATTTCTTCCCAGTGAGTCCATAAGAGCATAAATCCTGGAAGTGAAAGAGACATCAAGAGATAAATTGTTTTCTTGGGTTAAATAGAGTCGGGGGCGGCCTACCCATTTTACAGTCAAGGAAACTAAAGGCCCTGTGATCCTGAGTTGAGTCTGGTTTTGAAAACTGTTTTTACATTCATTTGGTCTGGCAATTAAGGTGGGAAGGAGGCAAACCAGTGTTTTCTGGAGCATGTACCTGGCTGATTTAAGGAGAAGGCTGTGTCCTCTGGTAGGCACGGACATGAGTGGGTAGCAAGGGCTCTGTGGTCTGCCCAGAGCTGCTGAGAACCAGCTGCTCCCTTGGCCTTCTTGTTCAGCCTCTTTGATCAAAGTGGAAAACTTCTGATTGTTGAATGGAAGCTGTGGGTGTTGAAAAATAAAAAGGCTTTGCTTGAAGTTCGGGTCTTCCTGAAGGCCTGTGGGGCTGAGAAGGGCAGTGGAAAAAAATGTTTGTCTTACAGTTACCTGTTTTGCATACAGTAAAATGACCTGGGAGGGAAGGCTGACAATGGGGAAAAATCACCCTTTGTTTTTACTCAGAACTTTCTGAGCAGTTGAGATTTTCAGATCAGTTTCTAGTAGAGTAGTTTATGGGCTCAATTTCTTTTTCTGTGGCACTCCTCTACTCACAAACCTTCAATGGCTCCCTATTTCCCACTCCCTTGCTCTAAGCCCCTCTCTGCTTTCCAGCTGTTCTAGAATCTAGTCTGGCCAACATAGAAACCCATTCCCTGTGCTAACTGGCTTCTTTCTGTCTTCTACTCAAGCTGTACGATGTGCAGATGGAAGGAGCCTTTATAGAATTTCTTGTTGAGTAACTTTTAAATCCTTTGGAAGCAAAACTGTACAAGGAGTATAAAAACATAAGAAAACAGGGCTGCTCTGGATGAAGCACAGGTGGGACGAGAGAAGCTCCACCTGCTCATTTGCCCTTTTCTGGTGTGGGGTCTCTCCAAGGTGAACAAAATTTAGAAACTCCAGAAAATTTGGCCTGAATCCCTCATTCCATGAAAGGAGGAAACTGGGACAGAGAAATGGGAACAACGAAAGGAAGTACACACTGGCAGGGAGAGAGCCAGGCGTAAGAGTCCCTTCTGCTCATTCTCATTCCTGCTCTGCTAATACTACAGGTGCATCCACGCTTCCTCTCGCGTTTTACTTGCCTTTCCACTGCTCCCGTTCTTCCTCTCCCTTTCAGCCTTCGCCAACCTGCCTCACCGCCTCCAGGAATGCTTGCCCAGTCTCTCAAACCCACTAACACCCTCTCTGTAACACCTCTATTTTCATGCCACATAACCTAATTGTCTAATTGTCTACTTCTCTTGATGTGGACCCCAAGTGTGTGAACACATGTAAAATTTGCCTTGCTCCTAAGAGTCCTTGAGGGCGGTCTGCAGTTTCCCAGTCTTCTTAAGTCCTTGCATCCCACCTTGCATTTCTTGCTGCTGGGCCTCTATGTAGGCTTGACCTTCAATCAGTGCTTTGTGTTTATGAAAAGAGAAAGTTCTAGAAGGATGGCTTATGTGGTGGCATTCCTGCCTCTCTCTTTTCAACAGTACTCTGTGTCTCCATCCTTCTCCAGAGAATGGCACCATGAGGGGACCACCCCAGCCTTCTTTCAACCTGGAATTAGTTGCAGAGGTGTGGTTGTGGTGCCCTAGACTCAGTGAGCAAATAGAACTAACCTCTCATCCCTTTAAGAAGGAACCCCATTTTGAAAAAGTAAAGAGAAGTCAGCTGTAGCCATTCCCCCAACATTGCTTTCCTGTATAAGGGACTGAAAGATCTCTGTTTTATGAACTAGAGGCTCTCAGGTGTAAGCCAACACCAGCAGTGGCAGCAATAGCACCTGGGAACTTGGTGGCACTTCAAGACCTGCTGGACTTACTCTAACTCAGAAACTCAGGCCGGGGTCTGGTAGTCTGTTTTCACAAAGCACCCCAGGGAATGCAGATGCTTGAGACCATTTGAAAAACACTGATTTAGGGAAATAATCTCCAAGGGATCATCTGGTCCAAAATTTGACCTTTGGGCAGGTAAACTACCACCTCCATTGTGTAGATAGGGAAACTGAGGCATGATAAAGTTATTGTCTGGGGTCACATAGCTGGGTTATGTTGGTTTACAGACTAATTTTTCTGGTCCCTAGATTGAGCCCTCTTTCTAACCTTGACTATAGCTGCAGGCTCTGGAAATAATTTCACGTTTCTGGAATGGAGATATTTTGGTTGGTGCAAAAGTGTGGTTTTTGCCATTTAAAGTAACTTGATAATTTTATTCATTTAAGGTTCTCTTGTGATTGCTGTATGTGGTAGAAATATATATATATATATTTAACTGTGGGTATATGTGAGACAAGGACAGACTCACCCAGGGTATATTCAAGCAATAACACATGTAACTTGAAAAGATTGGACGTTGGAGTTCAGCCACAGTGACACTTCATTGAGAGGCCCCAGTGAGGACAGGGACAGCGGGGAAGGTTTGGAGCAGGGCTAGTAAAATGGCCCACAGACAATATCTGGCAGGCATCTATTTTTGTAATTAAAGTTGTGTTGAAACGTAATCATGTCCACTTGTGTATACATCTACGCCTTCAATTCCACTACAACAGCAAATCTGAGTGGTTGTAACAGAGACCTCAAAGCTGGCGAAGCCTAAAACATTTATTATTTAGACCTTTACAGAAAAAGCTTGCTGATCCTTAGTTTAGAGTATTAAAATAAACCCAAGGCAGGATAACCAAAAGAGATTTGGGAAAGAGAACAGAAATGCGTTCCCTAAGACACTTTCATGTGGAGAAAAGGGAACTCGTTCACTGTTGGTGGGAATGTAAACTAGTACAGCCACCATGAAAAACCATATGAAGAGTCCTCATAAAACTGAAAATAGAACTACCATTTGATCTAGCATCCCACTACTGGATCTCTACCCAAAGGAAAACAATCAGTATGTCAACAGGACACCTGTACTTATATGTTTACCGCAGCGCTATTCATAACAGCAAAGATGTGGAATCTACCTAAGTGTTCATCAACTGATGAGTGGATACAGAAAATGTACCATATATGCACAGTGAAATACTATTTGGCCATAACAAATAATACAATCATGTCATTTGCAGCAACATGGATGAAACTGGAGATCATTATCTTAAGTAAAATAAGCAGGCACAAAAAGACAAATATCACATTTTTATTTACTAGTGTCAGCTAAAAAATTGGGTCATGTGAAGGTTGAGAGTAGAAAGATGGAGAACAGAAACTGGGAAGGATGAGTGCAGTGGGAGTTGGGGGACAAAGAGAAAAGGGTTAAGGGGTACAAATATACAGTAGGATAGAAAAAGTAAATTCACTGATTGATAGTAGAGTAGTGTACTTTACGCAGGAGATGGACACCCTAAATACCCTGACGTGATTGCTACGCATTACACGCATGTAAAAGAATTTCACATGTGGCTCATAAATTTGTACAAATTTTAAAAAGGCACCTCTGTAAAATCTTCCCTGATGTCTGAATTGTTAACTCATGCTTCATGTGAGAAGACTGTTTTTGGAATTCACTAATTGTAGAGAAGCTGTGTGTTCTGGTTGGTGGATGAAAAAAATCGATTACTGAAGAAGACAGCTGATTGGGAGATAGATAGATACACTTCCAGTATTGGTGATATGTATACGTGTGTGTGTGTGTGTGTATGTGTGTGTGTGTGTGTGTTTAAATCATATCTATTTATCTATCTACCTATCATTTTATCTATCATCTATCAATCATCTATGTATCTATGTATCTATGGATCTGTCTATCTATCTGTCATCTTCCTATCAACCTTAAAAAGGTTTTTAGACAACACAAAATAAATGCATGGGTATATACTGAAGCCATTAACACAAGGTGAAAGGTAGGAGTCAAGATATAAAATTAGAGAGTGAAGTGAATGTATTATGAAATCCTATCTGATGACAGTTTTAATAGTTAAGCATAACATTTATACTTATCAGCTTCCTGGTAACCAGGGAAAAGAAGCAAATACATTGGATTGCATAACTCTTTTTGGTCATAAAAAGCAGATGAGCTTAAAAGGAGAAATGGATACTTTGCTGGTTGTATAAGTGCACTGAGATATACAACATATTCCAAAATACCAGATGAATGTAATCTCATAATTTAAAGCATGTCATTGCAATGAATTAGGATAATGGCAGGTCTTACCAAATGGAAATGCTGAAACTTTTAAAAATGTAGTTTTATGATTTTCAGTGATGCAGAACTAATGATTAATGGATAATAGGGAAGTAGGAGATTTAAGGAAAGAAAAAATAAAAAAGAACATCACTTTTCTGGCCTCTTAGGGCTTCCAGTATAGCTGAATGGCTAGAAAACTCTATTAGTTACATGGTCCTTAATAACTTCATTGTCATTCAAAGAAGAGAGATGAGTCTGCATTCTTTGCAAAGCTGGGGAAAGGTCCTTCCATGCAGATTAATAATGGATACAAGAAGAGACATTCATTGGGTATTTGAGGGCTTAATATGTGCTAAGCACTGCCCATATAACAATGAGCAAGTCAAACATTCTCTCTTCTTTCATGATACTTACAGTAAGGTGGGTAAGACAAGAAGTTACATAAGTAATTATTAAATAACATAATTTATATACATAACAGACAATTCATGGTGTTATGGGTACCCAGTAGGGAAATCTTAAGCTGATCTGTCATTCTCTAGGGGACTTCATTGAGGTTAACTCTTCTACTTCTACACCAGCTTAATGAGTAAGAACTCCTCCCCAAATTCTTACTAGGTCATTTTACTTCCTTCCTCTTCCAGTTTAAAATCTTTCAATATCTCCCTGTGCCTGCAAAATCCTGGTCAGGTTTCCTTGGCAGGCCTCCGAGGCCTTCCTTCCCCTTAGTTTCCCCTAAGCTTTGTTTTCAGCCTCGACTCCAGGTGCAGTTTTTTATTCCAATCCCCACGCCTGACTTTACTTTTGTGCAGGTGACATCTTTATTTGCAAAATCGAATGCCCTTTCATACATCTTTCATTAAAAAAATAATATGTTATTGTTTACATATTGCCACTTTTCTGTGCTCCCTCTCTCAACTTCCAGTAAGAAATGAATCCCTCTTTCCTCTGTAGGTTTTCATAAAATGCTTTTACATGCAATCAATAATGATGAGAGCATTAATGATTACTTTATGGTTACAACAACCACCAACCTTTAGTGAACTCATATTACAAGCTCATGTGCTAAGCATATGACACTCATAATTTCACATAGTTTTACAATAATCCCAGTAGTGCTATTATTCTCATTGGACAGGTGAGGAAACTGAGACTTGGAGCTGTAAAATGGCTTTTCCAAGTTTATACTGCTACTAATTGATGGAGCTGGCATCATACAGGTCTGCCTGATTCCAGAGCAAG